TTTATGCAAAGAAATGCATTGCCATGATTCATTCATTAAGAATTGCCAAATTTCGGAGGGATCATATAGGGAGAAAAATATACTGACCTGCTTTAAGATCTTCCGATTTTCCTTGCCAGTCCTTTTTATGGACTTTTCAGAGTAATATTTTTCTCAATGTATTATAACAAAATAGTCTCCAAATGACAAGAACAAATTTAAAATGACATGTTTATGGATTTCATTATAATGCAAATGATATGGAATGGTGTCTATAAAACCCAACATTCTATAATATTATATCAATAACTATTAGTTATAACTGTATTTGACAAAGGTTTCTATGTACCTTTATATAAAATCTTTCTTTATGAGAGAGAAAACAAACATGTGAGGCATTTCAGAGCCTATTGGGATGATCTAGTAAAGCTAATTCTAGATCAAGAAAAAGTTTCTTAAAATGTAAACCCTTGAAGGATTGTCAAAATTGATTTTACTAAAAGATTATATATTAAAGTGTATTAGGAACATAGGCGAGCAAACTTTAGTTCCTATGATTAAAATATGGTCCTTTTTTATTAAATACCTGATAAATATAATTATTTTAGTAGAAAAGAACTGACTAAAATAAGGCTTATTTTTCTAACTTTGTCTGTCCTTGGGTGTGGACAGTAAATAATACTAGTTGGATTTCTTTTATCAGTCCCCCTGAGTAGTTTGGCATAACTATGTACCCTCTGTTTAGGGAGGCAGAATGCAATTATTTACTCTTCCTGGCTTACTGGTCTCTATCATTTAATTAATCTTCTAATAATTCTCTTGTCCTTTTTATTACATACACAGCCTTTATAAATTTTATACTTCTAAAGTAGCTTTCAAACCTTCTTTCTATGTCCTTTAAAAATGCATAACCATCCCTTAGACCTTCTATTAAGTATCTCTACTTTAATATTCTTTCTTTTTGCTATACCCTCAGCAACCTGATTGGCCCTTTCTTTTTTTTCTAAAATGTATTAGAATTCCTTATTCTTAGAAACCCTAATTTTTCAATGATTACCAGAAAGCAAACAGATAACACTTCTCAGATTAATATTTATGAACATACCTTAAATGTACTTTTACTTTTTCAACAACAAAAACTCTAACAAAGTACAAGAGACCTTACTTCTGTAATAAAAACTAAGAGGTAAATTAAAACTTGTCTAGCAAAACCTGCTATATTCTTCCTTAGAGATAACATCTCAGGCTACTGCTGCAGCTCTAAATTCTTTCACAGCCTAGAAAAGCTGGATTTTGGTGGTGACCAAAGGGCTACCTTGGAGCCCGAGGGGGAGCCTGAGATTATAAATTATCCTCTTGGCTGATTTCTTAGATTCT